TCAGGGCACTCTATATTTTAATTTTTTTACAATAAAATAAAATAAAAATACTTCAGGGTACAGGCAGTCACATGATGATATCTTCTGAATGGAAGGGAGCCACACATAGGTATCAACACATAATGCATTTTTGAGGGTGCATTTTTTTGGCCTTGCTATTCCTCTTAATTTTAATGAATTATTTTAATGATAAATATTCGGAATATTTTGGGTTGATTAGAGGAGGTCAATAGATTAAAATAAATAATTTCTAAAAATAATAAATAGAAATTATATTTTTCCATACTTTTAAGAAGACTGTTTTATTACACAGACATATATACAAAATGAATTGAATTTAAGTACTAAATTAGAGATGTAAATCCTAGAAAATGATGGAAAAAATGAAAAAAAAAATCTAGGCTTCTGCCTATTATCACATGTGTGGAAAAATTGTAAAAATGAATTATTTTGTTTTTCATATTAACTATGCGACTGTTTGCTCCTAAGGAGGCAAATGTCATGAAATTTCATAAAAAATAAGTAAATGTGCTAAGTTATGCAAATAAATAAATTATGCTCTTCAAGTTTATATACTTGACACAATTTTAAGAACAAACATATATAATCTTATTCTTTTGCAATTTTTGAGACAAATATGCATAGGAAGTAATATAAAAGAAAATAATGTAACCTTAAAGAATATAAAAACAAAATAATTTTATTGCAATATATTTTTTAAAAAGCAACCAAGGAAAAGTGAAAAAGAAAGGAATAAAAAGAACAAAAATTGAAGAGGTTTACAAGTTGAATAAGAATTTTAAAAGTAACATTAAATTAGTGCCACATGTAAAAGTGGAATTATATCAACTATATTATGTTTAACCCTTTAAAACCACTGCCAACATCAGATAATTATTATCAAAGGGAATTAATGCAAGAAGCATCACTCAAACTAAACAACATGGACTTCTATTTAATTTGGGAAGTTTGTCTTTATTTTAATAGATCAAGCAATATTCTAAAGTCTTAGGCAAAGAGAAATCCAAATTTCAGGTGTGATACAAATCTCTGTGTAGAATTATGGTTCATAATTCATTTCTAGGTTGAATTAATATCAGACTTGTTTTGTTAACGTTACACTGGTGTATACTCACAAATGATCTACCATTCTTCTAAAAAAAAGTATTTGTAATTTTCAGTAAGAAACATAAACGGTCTTAGCAGCTCTCATCATGGACAGACCCAGCTGTGTCTATTTTGTAGGAATATATTGCATAGTAGTGCTTAATAAAAAAGTTGATTTTAAAAGTTTGTTTCATTCTACATTGATTCATTTTTTAGTTTTGTGACATTGCTACTAGGTATGAAAAAATTAATGGAACGCCTTTTACTGATTTGTTCGTCTTATATTCCATGGACTAGAACCCGAGTCTCCTGATTCATAGTCCAACACTATAACCATTAGCAGCACAATAATTGCTGAAACTTTTTTTGAAACATTTTCTCGATTGTAAGTTTTTATATAGGTTTAAATGATTCCATTTTATTTTAATATTATAAAAATCTTATAAAATCTTACATATTATAAAAATCTGAACCATACCATAATAAATTAAATCCCTTAATAATGATACAAAAAAATTTGGGCAGTGTGTTTGTTTTCTGAAGAAAAGATCTAGCGATAGGAATATTTACACAAATGTATACAGTACAGAGCTAACCCTTTCCCTGGTTTCAGGAATCAGAGGAAGACATTTCAGATGTTAGTGGAGAACAAATTCTATGAATGGCTAGTTCACACAGGCAGCCGTCAACAGCTTGATAGCTTGGTACTTCCTGCTGCAGGATCTAAACAGGCAGCAGGATAGGAGAACCCTTAAAGCAACCAAATCATCAGGTGAGTTCAAAGGTCGCATAATGCACACATAAAAACTTTGTATTTTAATATAATATAAACAATTATTGCTCTGTAAGTTAGGTCAAAAGTTGCCTTAGGCTTTGGTGATATAAGTGAGGAATATATTTCTACAAAGTATAATTTATATTTGGCATTGTAAGATTTTATAATTTAATCTCTAATTGTAGATTTAAAAAAATTCTACCAATTACATTGATTACAAATATCTTATTACCACATATGATTTTTTAAAATGCTGACTTCCTTTTCCTTATATTGAATAAAATGTATGATGTTATTATCATCACATTAAATATAATATTTTTCTTTTTTCTGTTAAATACAGACATCTCAGAATTAAAATAAATTACGGTTCTTGAGTTCATAATCCACCCCTCATTCTTTCATAAATGTTCCAGAGGTATCGATTTGCAGTGCCCTTTTATCTTAGAATGAGAAATGCATGGGATGTATCCTAATAGTTTTAATTAATTAATTAATGCCTACTTCTACTATATATCTACAGACAATTATATTTTTTTCTGTCAAACTATATCACTTAGCAAAGTTTTACTTAAGCAATTTCTTTTACCTCATCTGTTATACAGTCTGTTTCTGGTTTACTGACTGTCCTAGTATCATTCTCTTATTCTGTTTAGCCTATTGCAATCTTGATGACTAAGGTTTTTTGTCATAACATTCAGTTATTGTTTAATTTAACTTATATATAAAACTACTATTAAGAAGATCTCACCTGTCCTCTATGACCCCCCAGACCTGATGGCAAAGCCAGGTCTTGAGTGATTTCTGGAACATTAATGGAACGAAACTCACTTCAAGGGGGAACATGTTCCATAAGGCAGGCATTATAGCAGAGAAGACTTGCCGCCAAGTGTCGTTCCCTGTATCATGTCTTCTCTGATGGGATGAATAGGTGTAGTTGGGAAGAGGTGGATTTTCTAATAAACTGTCCCATGCCAATATAGCCCATGGAGCAGAGATGTAAAATGTGCTGTTCTAGAACGGCCTGTGTTGCTTTCTGCCCTAGCTGAAGCTTCCAGATATTCTTCAAGGGCAGTCCCATCTAGAATACATTATGGTAATTCAGTTGGAAGGTGACTAGGCATGAGTGACTATGAACAGAGTGATCCAAACCAGGGATGGGTATAACTGGTGCACAACATGAAGCTGTGCAAAGGCCCTGCTAGCATGACTGCCACAAGTCCAGGAGGACGCCCAGATTATGCACTGATAAGTTTAGGACAGTGCAATCTGATCCAGCATCAAATATATCATAGTACTACAACTAGAAGGCCCCAGAACCTGAACTACTCAGTTTTTCCAGGGTCTGAAACAGCATCCTATTATTATTATTATTGTTGTTTGTTATGTATTTGTGATTGAAACTATCAAGTAAACTGCTACTATGTGATTGGAATGTGATGAGACTGCTGATTCAACAATTTAACTCTCTTATTTGTTTTGTTATAGCTCTGGAGATGAGGCACTGTGCCAAGTGAAAAGTATTTCCCTCATAATAGACTGGGGACAACTTGAAGTTTAGAAACATGAATTTGCTTAATGGCATTATCAAGAAGGAAATGGATTTACTGCATATTTCACGCTGTGTGATATCATCAGTTGCTCTTCATTGTATACTTGAAAGCAAAATGTAGATTCCTAGCATATTTAAATGTGCAGGAAAAGGTTTTACTTTCTTGATGTAAAGATAGTGGCAGTGCTCTGACTGCTGGGTGAATAATGTTTCTGTTATTAATTAAATATTGTTTATATTAATGTTTCTAAATATATATTTATATCAATTGTTTAGTACTTCAGGTGTGAAATTTAATTAAATTGACACAATGAAATTTTGTGCCTTGTTTTCTTTTTTCAGATTTAATGATGTAATAACACTTATTACCGTCCCTATATTTTGGGAAATATTCTTGGATTGAATTCAGGCTTAAAGTAGGCCCATTGAACTATACAGATTTAAGTTAGTCATAAATAACTAGTCAAAACTAAATTGATTTTAGTAGTTACCTTTTAATATTACTAAATTGCTAATTTTTCCATTTTGAAAGAAGTAGCAGATTAGGGATATTCCCTCTCCCCCAACGTTTGAAACACTAGAATTTCAGGTCAACTATTTAAGCTGGGAGTTTCAAGGTAGAAAAGAAGAACTATTTCTGTGAGGGGCAGAGGGCTGATTTTTTTTTTTTTAAATGCTTCTTTAGTGTTCACAAACAGAGAAAGGAAACATACTCCTACTGATGTTCTCCTGAAACACCCCCTTGAAAAGATACGAGCTCAACCCACAAGATCTATATCTTGATAGAGATGTGCTCAATGCATTTTTCTAATCTCTTTTCAAAGCCATTGGCGTTAACAACCACCCATGCTTTTTTGTCTACGTGTAACTTATGTGACTTATTCCACAAATTAATTATGTATCGCATAGGAAGTGTTTTCTTTTTGTTTGTTCCAAATTTCCTTCCAAACACCTGCATTAGATGGCTGGTAGTCCTTGTGTATTAGAATAGGGAGAATCTGCTTTCAGTACCTGCTAAGCGTGATTTCATACTTGTAGGATTATATATATATTTTCCCTCAGTTGTCTTCTTGCAGGCTCACATGGCTCACATGGTTAGGGCTCTGAGTTAGAGGTTAGCAAGCTCATGTTGAAATCTGTGTGTTGCTATGGGGCAGGGTGAGTTCCTGTCCTTTGCTCCAGCTCCTGCCAGGGACATGAAAGTTGCTCCTGGCTAAGTGTCCCCTGGGAAACTGTGGCTAATCCTTTTATTGCTTCATTGAGTGTGACGTCTTCTTTCCAAACTAATGAGTGCTAAAACATCTTATAAGAAAATAAGCAAGGTTACCTTTTTCTGCACTTTTCCAGTTTTGCTAGATTCCTTTTCAAATGCAAGACCAATATAGTTCTGCAGAAGTGGATATACTGTATATATAAAGGGATTTCTATTTTCTGCACCTTTTATAATAATAAAGATTATAATTATAAAAAATAAAAATTTTATAATGCTCTTAGCATGGGATTTTCTTTTTTACAATTGCATATGTTGGAAATACACAGTTTACATATCTGAGATGATGGAATGTAGGCAATAGTATGTTGATCTGCAAATTAATCTCTAGGTTAGCTATCCTAGTTTGTATAGAATGGTGTGAGCATGCTCAGGTAAAACTTGGGTTTTGTTGTTTTGAGGGGAAAAAAGATTAACTATGTCCATTGTCTTCATGCCTTCTTGAACTATTCTGAATTCTGCTGAACATTTCTAGAATATTGTCTACCTACTGTCCTTAGTCAGATCCTATGAAACAGTATCCTAAGATATACTGAAATCCTTGCTTATAAAATCTTAGATTTAAAAATGGCAGGTTTGAAAATATTCTGTGACTGATACCCACCAAAACTATATAATACCAGTTTTATATATACAAGTAGTTCTTATATAACAACTGCCTTGTTTAGTGACTGTTTCCAGTTATGACAGTGATAAAAAAGCAATTATGTGACCACTCCATATTTATGACCTTTGCAGATTGGTAAAACAAAAGAAGTCCGAAGTAAGATCGTAAGTCCAGCTGCAGTTTCAGTTAGCAATGATTTCACATAGTGGCTGAATTTCTGGACCTAATTTTGGTCACTAAATAAGCACTACCTGTATTTTCTCAAAATGGAATATACTGTATAAATCAAGTCTGTATAGAAACTACGAGCTATAAGCAGTATTTTTATGCGTGGTTAAAGAAATATTTTAGTTAGTTAAACCTACAACAAAAGATCAGAGCCACTTGTAGCCTTTTCCTTGGAAGTTTGCAAACAGCTAGGAAGATACAGTACTTTACTCAATGGAAAGTATATTACTTCAGTTAAACTCTTGCTCCATAGAATAATAGCTCACCAGGCTACTTTCCTCATTCATGCATGGTTCCCATGTTTTCTGGCATTATGTTCCACTAGGCTTCCTTTAGTTGAATCCATTATTATATGTAATCAAAACAGGGAACTATTACCATCACTCAATAGGAGCTGCAAGCACTTTTTATTTTGAGTATTTTTGACAGGAGTTTGGAGTTCTGACTCAGCAATGCATTCACAAGCCTAATGCATTAGAATGAGGAAAAATAAAGGGAGAAATGAAGCAGCGAGGCTTGCTTTTATTTTATAATCCTCTTTGTTTTTCTAGAACTTCTGAATAGCCCCAGAATCACTGAGTCAATTTTGGAATCCCATTTTCATGACAAAGCAAACATTTATCCTAAAAAATGAGCCCATTATAAAACAAGACTTCCTGGTTTCAGCTCTTGCCGTTACTTCTAGTCTCTTTTCTTTAGAAATACAGCACCCAGCATTGATCATGTTTAAAACTGGAAGCAGGGTAAGTTATGGTTTCAGTCTAAGGATATCTTTCTTTGTCCTTTTGTTTGTAAGAAGATGACATCTGAAGATGCAACCTGCTGGTGAACTTGGCAGAATTAAGATAAGCAGGGTAGATGAGGGAGATGTTTCCCATCTTCTGTTAGAAAGCAAATTGTTAGGGAATAAATTAATGCCTGAAACTCTTTTTTCTAGCTTTCATCAAAACAGCTACTATTTTGTCAAATTAAGGTCTATCCGTATTTGAAGATGGCATCATTGAGAGTATTAGATACACCTTACTTTTGTGATACTTATTTGCTTCATTCTGTGGAAGATAAGAGATATAGAAGTTCTGAGACTTACTGGGGTGATCTTGAAATGAAGATTTAGTCTTGCACTAGGACTAGTATGTTCCATGCAGAGAACAAGTATTTCCAGCTGTTTCACTGAAATATTTGTATAAGTTACAGAGGTAAATCTAGCCAGACAATAAGTTTAATCTGCAGTGCCACGCAGGTACAGATATAATTTCCTTCATGTTAGTCAACAGGCCCTATTGTTTATTAACTGAGCAAGTTCAAGATTAGAATCTCAGCAGGGCAGTTCATCATTATCCACAGTTTACTGTGAGAGGGTAAATGAACAAAAAAAAAAAAAAAAAAGAGGAAGATTTCCTTGGTGCTTTGGATTTTGGGATGATTTACGAAAACTACCCCTGAACAGTTCCCTAAGAATGGCTTACCTTAAACTTATAAAAAGAATATACTCTGAGCAATTAATGGAAGGTATTTGTTTGAAATCGTATCACTCAATTTGAAGTAGAGTTGGATGCTTTCCTGGATTTGTTTTAAATAAGGTGCCCCAGAGAGATTCAAGTTTAACTATCTTTCTGATACATAAGTTGAAAGCTTTTGAAAATATGGGAGAGAAACTGTCACTCACAGGAAGGAGTTTTCAAACATAAAATTCCCAGATCTTTTAACAGATGTGTATCAGGCAAAGTTCAGGGGGACTTTGCACAACATTGTGTCTTCTACATCTGAACAGTTTCTCCTTTAATACATTAGACATTTACATTTGATGTGTTATTGCTGCAGTGATATTTTTTAGTACCCATTTGTGTGTGATCCCAATATCTTCCCCTGAGCTTGTATTCTGTGTCTGTTGTTCATTTAGTTCATTAGTTGTATTTCATCTTTGTGGAAATGATAGTAGTTTCCCATATTCCACATTCACCCTCTATTGTATTTTCTCCACTACAACCTGCGAACCAATTAGACTCATACTATTCCTTTTCCCAGGCTTGCACCATTTTTTAAAAAATTCCCATTCAGATATATTTGTTCCAACAAATATTTTTGTCTAAGGACAAATGGCAGATTGGATTTGTGCACTTTTTTTTATTGGGGAAACAGCTCTCTGCGTGTCTCTGTGCAAACTTCTGAAGGGCCAACCCCTCCTCTTCTCTCCCAAAACGGTTTGTTTCACGTTTCTTTTTTCTTTTTAAGTTTAAAAAGGACAAAATATAGTAACATTCTTAAAGGGCCACTTTAGATGGAACGTTAATCAAAGTAAAGACTTCTGTCATCTAAAACTTAAACTTCTGATTTTAAATAAATAGTTCCTGGACAAAATCGGGAGATAAATTCAAGCAGGAATATAGCTGAGAGCAAACATTTCTTCCTGTAACTGGTGTAAGTGTTGGTTTTTATAGTGAGAAGTGAATACGTGAGCAATCAGATCCCTTGCCCATACCATCTTATGTGCAGCTTTTATTTAAGCGATTTCTATACTTTTCAAAACTTTGATTGACTGCTTCAAAGGAGACACCTAGTTGGGGACTTGGAGAGGTCTTCCACATGTTCATAATTCTAGATATATTGTATGAATAGGGATTGTGTGCTTTGATTTTAATATAAGTTTGGAAAGAGCAGATGCTCGGGGCAACATGAAATTCCCTGTTTATACCCCAGATACTAAAAAAAAAAGAATCTTCATATCTTTTTTGTACAGTTCGGTGAAGAAAAAAACATAAATTGGATACAAAAGATAAAATATATCTGTCCTCATGGTTGTGGGATCCTTGGTGCTCTCAGAAAGCACCAAGGACCCTATAGTTCAAGCCTGAGCAAAAATATTCTTTTCTGTCATGTCCTCAGCTTGGTGCTAAAGGTATGAAAAGGAAGAAAATATTGTAGATATAACAGATACTAATTTAGAGCCATAAAGTCTTGACAGCTTCAGAAATTATCTTCCACTTACAATCTTCCTGTACAGTAAAAATAGTAACAATACCCACAATAGCAATAATACATCACATCTATGTCTTGTATTCTTCTGAAAGATTGAGTGTTATGCATCTACATTTTCTTAATTTTACCCTTTTAACAGTGAACTCATTGAAACTTAAACTATGTCTCTTTGATACCAATCCTCAACCTGAGTCACTATATTACACTACAGTACTTTATTTTCTTACACAAATCAACCAACTGAGAGCTATTAAAACATCACCTGGAACAACCTTGCAACCCAATTTTACCCTCTGTCCCCATGATACTGACTTTATTTTGTCTCCAAGCTATAATTGAAGAATTGCATATTACTGTTCTTCATACTGCAAAATGCCAGGCAGTTTCCAAAACACTCAGAGTGACAAAGTGTCAGAACAAGGCATTTTTATACTACCAAAGCTGAGATCTGTAAAACTATTATGTGGAAAGACTCAAAGGAGAGAAAGAGAGAATCATGTCTTTTATTGGTATAATAGCTGTTCATTCAGAAGTCCTATCAATCATTTCATCAAAACTGGATCTGCTGCAATGAATTGATGCCATAATGAATTTTTGATTATATGGGGATAATCAGCATGTCCCATGTTAGTTGTATCTTTTCATAAATCTTCTGTTAACTTTGGCATTACCTTGGCACTTAAACATCAGCGGTTTGGGATTTCCCCCCCTACTTTAAACACCAAAATAATTTAACATATATTATAGTCCCCTATACTGTAGGTTTAATGCATGGGATCAAAAGATATAATTTGATATCATCAGCAACTTTGGCATTTAGTTATCCAAAGCACCAACCAATAAAAGGGATATGGTACAAGCTCAAGTGCAAGAATTGCTCTGGGTAGTATTCATCTGCTACAGAGTTCAGACAAAGCCTAGTTTTGCAGAAACCTATTTCTCTCTCCTTTGCTTGTGTTTCAGATTACTTTCTATGAAGGCAAGAATTTCCAAGGATGCCGCTATGAGTCTGATAGGGATTGTTTGGATTTCCACACTGATTTGAGCCATTGCAATTCCATCCGTGTAGAAAATGGTGTCTGGGTTGTTTATGAGCAGCCAAATTTTGCAGGAAACATGTATGTTTTAACCCATGGAGAATATCCTGAATATCACTGCTGGATGGGTCAAAATGATAGAGTCAGCTCCTGCAAATCCATTCAGTTGGTGAGTAGAATAATTTGTTTGTTTTTTCCCTTCAGAGAAACACTCTCTTACAAAATATGGTTCTTCTTACCATGTTAGTTCACTTCCAGTAAGCTGCCTGTGAAAGCATGTAAACCTGGTCTTGGAAAGAGTAAATGGGAGGTGGGCAATGAACTTACAAGTGAGGAGAAAAGTTCGCTCAATTCTGAGAAAGAGGAAAGCCTTCGAATAATCCAATATAAAACAGATGTGTGTCTATATACCCACACCACTTATAAGCTTATGAGTACACACACACACACACACATTTTGGCACAGAAAAGTTGAAATTATACGCACAATTTATAACATATTATTGAAACACAATAATTTATGTTTAGCACTAGCTGCTTTTATATCCAGAATGTCCTTCAATTGCCTGACAAGCCAATATTTTCAAGTGAAGGACATCTTTTACAAGTTATACAAAACATATTTGCTTAGATAAAGAAAGAACTTTTATTTGTAATAATCTTGGCTCAGAGAATTTATTTATTATTTATATCTTTTATTATTTTTACAAATAACTCATGTGCAGTATCTAATATTCCTTCCTCCTATTTTTCTCATAATAATCTGTGAGGTGGATTGGACTGAGAGAAAGTAACTGACTCAAAGTCACCCAGCCTGGTGCCACTAGATAAATCTGACTTAAAATTACATTTTAATACAGCTAATAGAAAATAAAGTTGGCCTTGAGCAATGAATGAAACAAAACAAAAAGAAAAACAAACTCAAGAAAAATTTTAAAGTATTCCATGAGAAAATTAAAAATGGTAAGAGACTTTTGAAAAATAAAAAAAATTAAAGAAAATATTAAAAGAGAAACTTTTTTATTAAAAGAAAAACTTTTTAAAAATTTACCAGATCTCCAGAAGAAACATACAAAAATGACGTATAGGAATTCTCCTAAAACCGAGGAGTTCCACCTCCATCTTGATTTAGTAAACTAATGGCAAGAAAGGGATTTCCACTAAATCAATAGTCTGCCAAATGATGACTGGTATTTTTGAGACCCAAAACACAGAACTATACTTTACATTAGAAACCCTACTTTAATGATATAGCCATCTGAAAAATTCTGGATTTTGGTTAGACGGGCAATTAGTTTGAAGAAAGTGTCCAATTTTAACTGAGTGTGGGAACATGCTATTTCTGTATGCTTCTCTCCCTAAAATTGCAAAGTTTGCAGTTTTTCTATAGTGTGAAAAACACAATTTACTCACATTGATTGGCATCAGTCTATGCAATCCATTGGTGTTTGCCTAAAGTGATGCTGAAATTCTCTTTTCTGATTTTTCACCCTGCTACTGTTGATGTTCATCCTTAAAAGGTCTGAGGGAGACAAATGCCAGGAGAAATCAGTCTTACTGGCATTGTACATTTGGGGCATCAATTGGTTTATATGAACTTTTCTTGAATGGCTTTGTTTCTTCTGTTGGTGCACTTAAAGGTTCACTTGTTAACAATGCCATTTACAAAACTGCGATGCCATTCATCACTGGCTTTGAAAGTTATTCTCATGTGATCTGCTGTTATGCTAACTGCTGACCTCAGTCTCACTGCATACATTAAAACCACATGAACGTTGCTTCACAGAGTGCTATTTTTTGTGCCATTTTCTTATGTCTTCCTGTTCCAGTTTCAGCTTTTTTACTAATAGTATTTACATTTTAAGCTTACTTTTTAGTATATGGACATCTCACAGTTTATTTTTTACACCATACTAATCTTATGCAGTCGACACTCCTGATTTTAATTTTACAGTCAATTGTTAGTTTACAAATATTTGCTCTTTTTCTTTGCTGGTCCCTCTCCTCCAGCCATATCTGATGAAATTTTATCTACAAATACAAATTTAAACACCAATATTTTTGGCCATTAACTCACCTGAAACTCAAACTGAAGCAGTTAAGAAGCATGTACATTTTAAAAGGGAAATATAGAACATTGTCTAGACTGTTACAAGTACAGGGGAGTTTGTTGTTGGGCAAAGTCCACTATTACTTAAAAATTTATCCATTACCTCTGAACTCTGTTAAATTGACGATCATAGCCCTGAGGATCTAATGTGTGTGCGCATGTGCGTGTGCGTGTATGTGTGTATTTGTGTATACCTATTACTTCACTATTTACTCATTTCTTTTATGATGGTAGGTATAGATCTATTTAGATAAATATATTATTCTGTGGCCTCTGAATATTATTATTATTATTATTATTATTATTATTATTATTATTATTATTATTATTATTATTATTATTATTATTATTATTATTA